AAAGTGCGTACTGTAGTTACGAATAAAAATGTTGATAGATCAACGCAGCGTCGATTCTTGTTTTATATGAAGTATAAAGCTTGGGTCTAAGGCCTAGGTATTAATTGATACATTTATTTATTGTATGGCATTATATTAATATCATACATAAATAGAATGGATGTTACGGGTAGGTAATTCTTATCGATATATTTTTTCACACTGTCTTATCTTTATTATTAGTTCCGTGGACGTTCACTTCTGCTGTCAGCGCCAAAATGACGAAAATCAAATCGCCTCATTATGTCAAGGTTATAGCCAGTCCATATATAGAGGTCAGTGACTGTGAAGGATAATTATACACGGGTAGAATCTACTAGTTAGTCTGTGATTGTAACTTCAGGCTCAGAAGGAGTAGAACCCAGAGCCGTAAAGCTGCGGATGTAACATTGAGTGAAAAAATCGCTTATGAAAAATCGATTCTTTGCTTTGTGATATTAATCGACTTAGGAAAATAGCAGCTTAACACTGCTGTGTTTCGTATGGTGAGTGTAGAGAACCGGAGACCCTTTTTACTGGAAAAGAGGCATTACATCTTAGTCCTCAGGGGTGACAACGCATCTGCATTTTGATTCGTAAACGAGAATAAATGTAAATGTCTATGGGCCATAGCAACCACTTACCATCAGGTGAACTGTGTGTGTGCTCGTTTGTCACCTTATCCTATAAAGAAAAAACTATTTTTATTAGAAGAAATAATCGATTTTTGCGAAAAATTTCTATAATTTCAAAAAATGCCTGCTTTCCTATATACACTGGTGGTCATATAATTAGAAACACTTCTTATGAATAAAGAAAGTATAACTTCAACGTACAAATGGTCGTAAAAATATACACATACAATTATTAATAATCATGCAATAATATAGCCACTCAAATAAAAAACTCATTAAATGCATAAAATATAAAACATATCTTACTTTTAATTAAAAAATGACTCTTACACATGTAGGAGTTTTTTTTCTGTTACTGGCCGCTTGGACGCCTAATTAGAAACATTTTAAAAAAGCATCCATAGCTTGTTCTTTTTTTGAAATTGGAGAATAATATTTCTTTCTTGGCTTTTTCTGTTATTTTGGCGGCAATTCAAAATTTAATCTAAATTTTATTTTGTTCAAAATGGGCAAAAATAAAAGTTGTGACGTGTCAACTAAGCAAATAACCCTTAATTTACATATAGATCATAAGTGGGCGTATAGGGCGTATAGCTGAGAATTTAAATTGTTCTATTAAGAAAGTTTTTAATGCAATTGATCATTATAAAACACATGGAACTGTTGAAAAAGTTCTTAGAAAGGCTCGGTCAAGAAAAACCTCTTCCAGAGAAGATACGCTAATCGTTCGTGTTGCTAAAAAAGACCTAAGTAAAGGATTAAAACTGAAGTTTTTTCGCCTGATGACCCGAGAAACATCTCGTCAAAACTGATACGCTGAAGATTAGTGGAAGCTAAATTGTTTCGAAGAATCTCTCGCAAGGTATCGTTTCTTACCAAGCAACACCGAGAGAAGCGATTATTATTTGCTAAAAAAATATGTTAATTGGTCTGTACGAGAATGGAAAAAAGTGTTATTTTCAGATGAAACAAAAGTAAATATGGTAAATTCCGATAGAAAGCGCTATGTTAGACGTTCTGTAAACAATGCTTTTAATTATAAATACACAAGGAGTATAGTCAGGCACGGTGGCGGTAACATTAAAATTTGGGGGTATTTTTCCGGATATGCAGTTGGACCCGTTCAGAAGATTGAAGGTACAATGGATCAATGGCAATCCAAGAATATCTTAGAGCATACAACGATTTCCTATTCTGACGATCATTTGCCTGTAACCTAGATCTTTCAGCATAACAATGGCCCTAAACACACGGCCAATAACGTCAAATGTTTCCTTAGTGAACAGCGTATAGCCGTTCTAGACTAGCCAGCAAATAGTCCGGACTCAAACCCGATAGAAAATCTCTGGTATATTGTTAAAAAAGTCTCAAACAAGCGTAACACCAGTCAAAACGAACTATATGAAGCATTTGTTGAAGCATGGAATTCAATCCCCCTAGAAAAATGTATAAAATTGATTGAATCAATGCCACGTCGTTGCAGTGCTGTTATTGAAAATATGGGATACGTCACTAAATATTAATTATAACTATTGGTAGGCTGTGTATAGTAGCTATTTCGTAAATAACAATACTAATCATAATACTTAAAAAAATATTGTTTTTTTATACTTTTTTGTTGTTATTTCTAATTAGTTGACCATTATTGTTCATACCTTAAAACTGATTTAAATGTTTGTCCGTAATATAATATTGAAACTCCACTTGTGTACCGGGATTTAAATTGTTTTTCTAATAAATGATAAATCGTTGAACATATTGTTGTCCTATTTATTGTTTAATTTCAAAATGAAAACGATTGCGGTGAAATATCTTACACAATGTCAAGAACCGTTGGTAGTGTTTCTAATTGTGCGATCACCACTATATTAATAAAACTACGAGATTAGGTTAGCATTAACAATTTATCAGAATAAAAATCAAATTAAATGATAAGTATAAAAAATAATCAGAACGACAATCTGCTGGTTTCAAAACTAAACTACAAAACATTTTTTTTACCTATAACTTTAAACAATAAAAAACTAAAAATAATTACTGCCACTATATATAAGTCATTTAACAATTTATTAGAACCAAAATAAAAAGAAACGATAAGTTTTGTTAAATGAAATGAAATGAAGATTTATTTGCTTTGAAAAAGGGGTACATTTAGGTGGTTATTATAAAGAGTAGTTCAGCTTTTCCAGCCTTCTATAATAACATGCAAATACATTTATATAATTTGCATGCTATTATAGATGGCTGGAAAAGTTGAACTACTCTTTATAAAAACCTTTATTGAAAAAAAAAATTACATTACAATATAAAATTCAATTAAAATATTTATCGTGATATCATTGTTTACAAATTAGCAATACCTAAAAATATATAATTACTGTTGTGTTACATCATGTCAAATTTAGGTAGTCATTCACATTATAAAAACAATGTTCATTTAGCCATCTGTAAAAGGCGCCTTTAAATCTATTAAGGGGTAAGTCTTTTATAATTTGGGGTATTTTATTAAATATGAGAATACACCTCCAGTAGCAGTTTTTTTTTTAAATCGAGCACACTTGGATATAATTTCAGCAGCAAGTCTATTGCCATTTCTGGTATTTCGTGTATAAATCTCTTTTGCTTGTTTGAAATAATACATCATGTTTTGTTTTACAAACTTTGCAATTTCAAAAATGTACAGGTATGGGAGGGGTAGTATTTTCAAAGATATAAATAACGGTCTGCAAGGCTCATCAGGTGCAGTGCCAAATTTTAATTGTAAGCGATAGTTTTTTTTAAAGTAAGTTTGAATAAACGCAAAATCTAAATATCATTATTGCCACAAATGTTCAGTACCACTGACATTAGATTAGATTGAAAATGAAATAAAACTATAACTTTAAATAATCAAACGGCAACCTTTTGGTCTTTAAACTAATATACAAAATGAATCTTTTCTTAAACTTTCAGTTTAAACAAAAAAAAAATTGTAAACAACTATTGCCACTAATGTTTAGTATCATTTACATTGGACTAGAATGAAAATAAAATAAAAATATAATTATAAATAATAAAACGACAAACTTTTGGTCTCAAAACTAAAAAACAAGACATTTTTTTTTAAACTCGTGCAAACAAAAAAAGTAAAAAACTATTGCCATGAATTTTAATTTAAAGAGTTTAAAAACAAAAATTTTACCAACTTTCTTCTTCGTCTGTTTTGTAAAATACAGTTTCGTTTTTTTCCTGACAATATTTCCCGTTTTCGAATATAATCTTTTGGCTGGCGCGGAACTGGCCATCACAAAGAGGTGTTTAAGAGCCAATTTGGTTAGTTTAGGGAAAGTTCCTTCAGAGCTTCTTTATATTGAGGGCATCTGCCTTGAGATATGATAGTGGTGCCGCAATATATAGGTCCAATTCAGTATTTTTGCCTATTGACATGTTGGCTGCTATTATTTTTTCATTATAAAATACTTCCATCAGGCACTTTTAGGTGTTTTACAAGACATTTTTATTGTTTAAATAATTATTTACATTCTCCAAAGAAAGAAAGAAAACCACAGAATACTTTTACTCCTAGCGGAGAAAGAAAACTGTTTTTTTTTTATAGGATAAGGGTGACAAACGAGCACACAGTCCACCTGATGTTAAGTGGTTGCTGCGGCCCATAGACATCTACATCAATCCTCTGTTACAAATCAAAATGTAGATGCGTTGTCACCCGTGAGGACTAAGATGGAATCCCTCATTTCCAGTAAAACCCGTTCCAGTATGTTGATAACATACGAAAGGCGAAACTATTTTACATGCAAAGACTACAATTTTACTTGCATATAGATACATACAGGTAGCGCCGTCTTTTGATCGACTTGTTCATGTTAGTGAACTTAGCGTTTTGTCATCTGTCGCACAGATGACGCTGTTCTTTTGATCAACTTATTCATGATATTGATATTCACGTTTTTACATCCATCGCACAGATGACGCTGATTAAAAAAAATCGATTAAACGCGTAATTTACATAATCGATTGATTAAAAATCGAATTTTATTACAAAGAAATTGACTTTTCAAAATCGATTATAAGAAAAATAATCGATTAATATGAAAATAGATTATTTTTTTCCATCCCTACGGAAACCCAGGTATAAAAAAAAAATATTATGTAGTCTTGCTACATATATATTTATCTATGATCTATGCACAGAGTACTTTTATATATACTGAAAGATCTATGTATGTAGTTACTAGTTATTTTTATTTAAATATTTATTATTTATCAGTTATCACAAACCAACTATAACATATAATATTATAGAAACATACACGTTACTTATTTCAGGTTTTAGTTCACTAATTAAAAATGGGAGATTTTTCAGACGATGTTGAAACTTCCGAAAACATAAGCCGAGTAAGTGCAATAAAATAATACACATTGTCGTTATACTCCTATTCCATTGGAAAAGTATGAAGTACCTATATTAAATCTTAATGAAACCAGATCAAAAAGTTAACTAGTCATTATATTAACTGCAAATGCAAAGAACTTGTACATATTTAGCTACACTTGGGAAAAGTTGATAACTGATTTAATTACCTTTTGTACTGATAACAGAGTCAAATCCAATAAAAAAATATTTTAGTGAAGCCAAAGCAAAAGTGAAGTGAAGCCTATTTTTAGCGTGCAATTTTTATAGCATCACCATGAGCTTTGATAGTTATTTAAGCTATAAATTTATTACGAAAAGATGCACACAGAAGTGTTCATTTTATTACAACAAAATCCCAGAACATATTCAAAGTTTGTCAATAAACAAGTTTAAAAGTTTTATTAAAGAAAAACTGTACGAAAAGGGTTATTATAATATCAAGGAATACATGAATGAAAATATCCCCTGGGTATAAGGTGTTCGCCACCATGCTGGTTCTATGAAAAATTATTTAAAAATTGTATAAACGAAATTGTTTGAAAAAAAAAGTCCCGCTGGGTTTCTTGCTGGTTCTTCCCAGGACAGAGGTATTTTCCGAACCAGTGGTAGATAAAAAATGACTTTCAATAAGAATTATGTAATAATCGATATTGAATAAAAAATTATTCTATTCTATTCTATTCTATTTATTTGTGCAATTATAGGTGAGACCTTCATTAGCTCAAGTAAAAGTTGTGGTAGAATTCATGGAAAAACACCCGGACATAGCTAACCGCAAACAAAGAGATGGCATGAGCCATGAAAAGTTTAAAGCGTTATGGACAGAGTTAGCTAATATTGCTAATGGTTTAGAAGGTGCTACAAAGTCAATGAAAGGTTGGATCAAGGTAATTTAGTTTCTTTCTCTAGGGGTGGAACAATTATTACTTTTCAGTTTTACCTGTATACACATACCTATTCTGTCTCAGTAACTTATTAATCTAAAATGTAAATGGAAGTACTTTTGTCTATTTTGTTTATTTATTGTTAAATGTAAACATCTGTAAAATTAGTCTGTCGGTCAATCCTGGGAGATAAGAAAATTTTAGCTGATGTAAACTTGTTACGTCTTTTTTTTTATAGGATAGGGTAACAAACGAGCACACAGTCCACCTGATGGTAAGTGGTTACTGTGACCCATAGACATCCACATCTATCCTCAATAAAGAATCAAAATGCAGATGCGTTGTCACCAATGAGAACTAAGATGGAATGCCTGTTTTCCAGTAAAACGGGTCTCCGGTTCTTTACACTCACCATACGAAACATAGCAGTGTTAAGCTGCTATTTTACACTGATATTCTGTGAGAGTGTGGTCCTTCTCTGGTCGAGCCGACCCATTCATGCTACAACTTTACTACTAATATAGCTGCAGCATGGCTCTACCACGTAAAGACTAAAAATAAATATAAATTAAAAAATGACAAAGTAATTGGTGGCTGCATTAATAGCCACTTTACACTAATTATTAACCTGGGCTAATGAGTTCAGGTTAACCTGTGCGTGTGCGTGTTGTGTATCAGTTACTCTCCCGCTAACGCTGTACGGCACTGTGCTCCGGCTACATGTGTAGGACTTATAAAGAAAAAATAACAGGACAATAATTTTTTATTTATTTAGAAGTTTAAAATTATGTCTAAACAATCAAAAGTAAACATTGAGTATGTTTACTTTTGTTTGTTTACTTCTTACTCCCTCTCTCATCTTAATTAAAATAAATGTAAATAAATAAGTATTTCTAATAATTATTAACACTTTTGTTATTTGTAAAACAAAAAAAGAAATAATTTTGTAAATACAACACAAGAAAATCTTATAATAAATAAATGTTAGGCTACAGCAATGAAGTGATCACTGACTATTATACCTACATTGTATGCAGCAGGCAAAATTCACAATCAGTCACTTGTTCAAAGTAACATCATTATATCAATTTTTATAAAGAGAAGTGGAGATGCGATCTCTTCGTAAAATGTGCGGCGTTACCATGGCCGACCGAAAGCGAAACAAAGAGATTCGCAATATGGCAGGTTTGAAAGATGACCTTATCACAAAAATTGATAAGGGCGTGCTTCGATGGTTTGGGCACGTTGAGCGAATGAGTGAAGACCGAATGGTGAAGAAAATATATAGCGCGAAAGTTAATATTAAAAGGTGTCGAGGTAGACCGAGACTAACTTTCGAAGACCATGTGAGCAAATTGCATGAAGAGGGTAGGGTCAATAGTACTCGGATACCTAGACGTGCATGTATGAAGAAGATAATGAATCTGAAAGAAGCGAAAGAGGTTTGTAAGGATCGTGACACTTGGCGATCTGTTCTCTCTGGCTACCCCATCAGGGATTGTGCGTGAAGATAAATAAATAAATAAATAATAAAATAAAGAGAAGTAAGTTTCTTTTTCATTCTTAATAAATATTTATTTTTCCAGTTTTGGTCAGATAAAAGAAGGAGTGTGGTTATAAGGCAAAAACATATTAATGAGGGCAGAACTAATGACATTCTGAGTCCTTTAGAACTAAAAATTTTAGACATCTGTTCTAATAGCAAACATACAATAAATAGTAAGTTTTATTTTTTATTTTAGGTAACTTATTGATTACTTCCATGTCTCTACAAGCTTCTAAGTAAACTCATTGCCTGTGTAATTGTGTAAAAAACATAAAGCAATAAATGTTTACCATTTATTTACAGAAAGAAAGAACTCATTTAAGCAAGAGACTTGTAATGGAGATGATGATTCACTTGAAAATATACTTAGGAAGGAAGATGAGGATTTGGAATATACAACAAATAGAGATCAAATGATGTCTACAGAAGCAGATGAAAGACATTTAAACATGATGGAGAAATTAGTATGTTATCTTAATATCACATTTTTTTGAGATCATTCTATAGCCTATGTTGTATCAATGTAAAATATAATGGAACAATTTAAAATGTAAGTAAATAGAAGTAATAACAAACATAGTCAGTCAGTGTCAGTAAGTGAAAGTTGAGTGCAAGCTATCTAATGATGCTTTAATTAATTTGTACCCTTAAATTAGTCCTTGATTTCAAAAATGAACTTTTCTGTATTGAAATTCATGACACGCGGGCGTGTCTAGCGAGTGACTGGGGTGGGGCGGGAACAGGAAGTGGTGCTTGCGGCTAACCACGCAGAATGTGTGGAGGAGATGCGGTGCACCGCACCATTCAACCGCCGTAGCCCCAAGACATCCGGAGCGGTTGACGGCGGACTGCAAGTCAGTGCGTGGATATCATGTGGTTTCATGTTAAAATCGAAGTGCAGTCTGCCGCAATGGCATGCCGTATCACAGCCAGCCGCTAGTGCATTCCTAAATTACTTTATTTTCTACAGCTTTTAAATTTCTAAACAAAAGCAAGACAATGTAATGGGGTGTAAAAATATCCACTGCCCCATATTGTCCTGTAGGTGTCATAAGAGGCGACAAAGGGAACAAAAAAAGGCCGGCAACGCATCTGCAATTCCCCTGGTGTTGCGGTTGTTCATGGGCGGCGGTAGTCACTTACCATCAGGTGAGCCGCATGCTCGTTTGCCCCCTCTCCTATAAAAAAAAAAAAAGTATTTTTATTTGATTCACTTTTAACATATATAATATCCTCATCTTTAATTCCAAATATTTTGAGTCGATCTAGAAATAAAATATAACAAATAAGGAATAGTTTTATTAAAAAAAAAATAATGATATTTATTGGAACTAATGATGTACTTTCTATAAATACTAGGAACAAGCACAAGTTAGTTATACCAGTTAGTCAACTCTAAAGGGTCAGTAATTCCTTCATGGGGAAATGTATACTCTTTTAAAACAAAGTCCCAGAATATGTGCAGACCTTATCTGCTGACTTCCAAAAAGGAGACTGTACTCAATTCGACTGTATGTTTTTTTTTTGTGTGTGTTACCTCATAACTTTTTACTGGGTGAACCGATTTCGATGATTCTTTTTTTTATTATTTGAAAGCTCGTACTTCTCGTGTGGTCCCATATGAATTTGATCAAGGTCAGACCAATGGTTTTTGAGTTATTCTTAATAACTTATATTGAAGTCTGCTGTACACAATTTTTAATTTTAAATTATGTATCAATATATTTAAAATATTTATTAAGTAATAATTTTTTAGTAAGGGTTATTATATTACTAAAGAGTACATGATTGATAATAACCCCTGGGAATGAGGTGATTGCTACCATGTTGTTTCTAAATATTTTCATAACAATTGTATAAAATATTATTTTGTAAATATTTTATGTTTTAATTTTCTTGTTGGTTTTTCCCAGGACAGTTTTTTTTTTGAACCAGTGGTAAAAGTAAAAAATGACTTTCAATAAGTATTATGTACTATAATCTATATTGAATAAAAGTTATTCTATTCTATTCCTAGTAGTCGAAATTCGGCCATAACTTGACATTCGCATTAGAGTAATAATATACATCATATGAGAGTGAGTAACATCAGAAATCAGAAATGTTTATTTGCTTTAAACATGGTAGTACAAAGATCTTAATATAGTGATACTAGTATGTCCTCATGTTTGACTTACAACTGTCATGCAAATTTAAAAGTAGTTACATTTGAATCTACTTAGAACTAAAAATAAGTTAATAGACTAAATATAAAATAATGGTAAACATGAATCATAGACAGAACATTACATAACATTTATAAATTGTATAATATTTTATGTCAAATTATTCAAGTCATAAATAAAGTAAACACAGAAAAGCTACAAAGACAATTAACATTCAAAAATCTCTTGGTCATCTAAGTATTCCTGGACTGAATAAAAGCATCTAGTCAAAAGCCAGGAATGTAACTTTCTTTTAAACAATGGTAATGGCAAGAGCCTTGAAACATGGATGAAGCTTATTATAAATTTTGATAGCCGTACAATAACAGCTTTGTCTGTATAGTTGAAGTCTTATTCTAGGTTGCATGATCCTTTCTCGATGTCTGGCAAGTTTATTTTTGTATTGCCCTCTAGTGACAAAATAATGAGAGTGTTGTCGTACAAAAATACACATTTGTTTTATATACAGGCACGGTAGCGGTAGGATTCCAAGATTCTTGAAAAGGGGTTTACAGCTTTCAAGAAAATGTACTCTGCAAATAGCCCTAATACATTTCTTTTGGGCTATGAAAGCCCGGTTTACATCCACTGAACCTCCCCACAATATAGTGCCGTAACTTAATAGTGATGACACATAGCCATGGTAGGCCGATAGAGCAGTTTCAATGGATGATACATTACTGAGTCATCGTAGCGCGTATACAAATTTATTTATTCTCGTACATAGATTGTCTATATGTGCTTTCCAGTCACAGTGTTTATCTAAAGTAAATCCAAGAAATTTAACTTCATTAACAATATCAATGGTATTACCGCAATAATCGACTAGCACATCCATTGACCTTGCTCTGTAAGTAGTAAACTGGATGCCCTTTGTTTTTTGTATGTTTATTTTGAGATTGTTCGAATGTAGCCAATTGATTAGGTTGTGTAAAGTCTCATTAATAATGACATTGGATTTTTCTATTTCATCACATTTTATTACCACTGTGGTATCGTCTGCGAACATGAAACATTTATGTTGAGTTGCATTTGGTAAGTCGTTAATAAATATCAAAAACAACAGGGGCCCCAAGATACTGCCCTGTGGAACTCCCCATGGGTTAACGCGATATTTTGACCGGAAAGTACACTGTCTTGATTCAACGATTGTTGCTATCTCAATACATTGCTGTCTATTATACAGATAACTTTCCAACCATTCATAAGCGTTACCTCTAATACCATATCTATATAGTTTATCCAGTAATCTTTTATGTGGAACAAAGTCAAAAGCTTTAGTCATGTCTAAAAATAAAGCAATAAGTGGTATCTTTTGATTAATACATTCTGTGACATAATGTACCAGATTGTAGCAGGCCAACGTAGTAGAGTGACCTTTGCGAAAACCGTACTGTTCTTCTGTCACTATATTATTTGAGTTAATAAAGCTATCAATGCGCTTGAAGATGACTTTTTCATAGATTTTAGATAGTATCGGAATAATAGTTATCGGTCTATAGTTATTCATATCACATTTATCGCCCTTCTTGAATATTGGCGTGACAATACATAACTTAAGGATATCGGGGAATAATCCCTGTTCCATTGACAAATTAATTACATGGGCAAGAGGTCGGCTTAAATCACTCGCACATGCCTTTAGTACACGTGTGTTTATGCCATCATGTCCAACTGCATTGCTGTTTTTAAGCGATAAAATAATAGAAGCTATTTCAATTTCATTGGTTGGGGTTAGGAATATTGAATTTTTATTGAATGGAATGTTGATTTTATCAGAATTTAAATTGTCCTGTTCTAGGTTAGTCATGTCTATAAAATAGTTATTAAACAATTCACATATTACATTAGGATTACTATATTTTATGTCATTTATACTTATTATGTCAATATCATTATATTCTTTATCATTATTTAAATTATCATTGATAATATTCCATACCGCTTTACATTTATTAGAAGCATTATGTATAACTCTTTGGTTTTGTAATTTTTGAGCCCCATAAATGCACTTTTTGAGTATTTTATTGTATTTTTTGTATGCGTATTTTTTAAATAATCGAGAAATTTTATTGCTTCTTGTATATTGGATATACAGACGCCTCTTATTTTTGCACGCAAGTCTAATGCCTTTACTAAGCCATTTCTGGTATCTGAATTTATTACATATCTTAACAAGCTTTATTGGAAAACAGAGTTTATTAAATAGATCAATCACGTTATGCAATTCGTTGAAAGCTTCATTAGCATTTTTATTATTATATACTTCTGAAAAAGATAGGGCAGATATACAGTTTCTAAACTTGATTAAGTTTTCTTCACTGTAATCAATTGTCTGTATAGTATACTCTTTTTTAATCAACTTCATTTTAAATGATATTGTTTGGGCTGTTACATGATCAGATAAGCAAACAAGATGTGTGCCTGATTTGGCCCTATACACATTACTGGCGATCTGGTCAAGACATGCCTTTCCACGAGTTGCAGTATTTATGTGCATTTTTAAGTTAAATTTTTTTAGAATGTCACTTAAGAGTTTGGTTCGTTTTTGTCGAGTTGGTTTTAATATGTCTATATTCCAATCGCCAGTCAGAACTATTTTATGTTTGGGTTTAGTTTTAAGTAAGTTATGCAAAAGTTCTTGGAGTTTGATAAAAAACAGATATGCTCATATGATGTTACTCACTCTCAGCTATCTGAGGCACTTCGCACGATGATGGGACTTCATCCTGAAAGGCCAATCGAAGTCTATCATAACTATCTTGTTCATTTAAATGACATCAAAAGTCATAAAAAATTATTGTACGAAAATTTTATCTTATTAAATTCATGCTGACGTGATACAGACAATTTTCAATTTGCCACCAAATCATAAACAAATGACAAATTAATAAAATACATCAATAATATTGGCAAAGAGTTCCTTTTTCAAAATTTGAGCTTATTTTTTTATTATATTATTTACAAGTGGCTAGTTCTAAAAACTTTCAGTGTCACCCTTGTAAACTTTTCTTTTTTTTATACTTAATATAGGTAGAAGTAATGGATCAGCAGACTTCTGCTATGTCACGAATGGCAGAGGCAACTCTAAGTAATTCAAAAGCTCTGGAACGGATAGCAGATGCCTCACATAAGCAGGTAATTTACTGTATTATTGATGGTGAACACATACATAATATATTGCCAGTTTTCAACTGCACAATAATTACTAACTTCACTTTGCATTATTTTGTTTTAAGGAATGCAATAAAGAACAAATAAATAAATAAAAGTTTACAGGTACAATGTTGTGTAAGAAAAATCTAGATTTTATATATTATAAGCAAGTGCTTAACTTCTAACATATAATCTAATCAAAGAGATTTAAATATATAGGTATACTCTATAGCAGACATTAGGAACATTTATAGACAAAAACTTTGAGCTAGTGCGCGTGTGGCACCCTCTAGCTAAAAATAGCAAAACAACGCTAAGCATTTATTAAGACAACATTTTAGCTATTCCCCAGTAGGTGACGCTAATAAATATAACCTCGTTTTAGGAATGTTACCGTTTCAATATGAAAGTATCGATAATGTTGTTGAAGATTACTAAGTTTGAAATGCTTTTCGATATAATAATAGGGAATATACATGATTGTTTTATTGTACAAATTTATTTATCATGACTTCTATCACACGAAAAACATCATATTAACTTTTTACGCCCCTTTAGTGTCATGAAATAAAATATTTAATTTCCAATAACTAAGAATCAATTCAGACAGCAGTCACTTTGGTTGCCACCTTAGTGGCATGACGTCACTCGGTCCATTAGCTGCTATAATAATAGCATATTGTACACGCCCCTAACTGTCCCGACAAAGTTCGATTCCACAGGGGCCCAGAGCTGTAGGCTCGACGAACAATTAAGGACGGGGCCGAATGGCCTGGTGGAATGTTCTATCCTACTAAGCTTTAAAGAGAAGGCTAGTCGAATAGAGAGTATTTAACTACTAAGGTACTTACCTGCTTTGGGAGCGGAGACTGGTCACCAGGATCTGTCAGGCTGAAGGTGTAGTGCATGTAAGTGGTGTTTGTGAGTGTCTGTGTTTAGGTGGCCTGAACCAGATGGCACGATGCTGCCCCGGAGGCGGTATTCTCCTGCGGCGTCCCCGTTGTCAATTTCTTTCTTCAAGGCACACGCGAGTAGATTGGCACACGGGACAAGGTCGCGACGGCACGTTGCAAGACCGAATCTCCGACCAAAACCTCGGCCACCCTAGGCACCCCATCCGATCCATACGACAACTTAACAATGCGCCCACGGCGCCAATACAAAGGCAGAGCGCTGGGTTCTTTAACCAACACGAGGTCTCCAACCCGAGAAGGATCCGTCTTGTCAGACCACTTAATGCACTGCTGCAAAAGATGTAGGTACTCCAGAGACCATCGGTGCCAAAAACTGAGTCATCTGTTGCAGCAGGTCAAACCTGCTCAACCGCGAAGAGTTCGTTTCCCTGAAGGGGTACTCGGGCAGGGCGTTAAGCGGCAGGCCAATCAGGAAGTGTCCCGGGGTTTGAACCTCCAAATCATTCGGATCGGACGAGAGGGGACAGAGGGGCCGAGAGTTGAGTACCGCCTCAATTTTACAGAATACAGTGGCGAGCTCCTCAAATGTCAAAATAGTTTCGCCAATAACGCGACGGAGATGCGTTTTTGCAACCTTAGCCACCGCCTCAAAAATACCGCCCCAGTGGGGACAAGCCGGAGGGTCGAATTTGTACCCTTAAATGCCCCTTTTGGACATCGCATTACCTAAATAAGTCCTGTTGCTGGACAGAAATTCGACGACCTCTTTCAAATATCTATCCGTGCCCTTATAATTCGTTCCGCAATCAGACCGGATCAGGTCTACGTACGTGCGCCGCGATACGAAACGGCCCAGCGTGGCCAAGAAGGCTTCCGTGCTGAGGGCACTTACAAGTTCTAAGTGAACGGCCTTAGTGGAGAGGCACACGAAAACGCAAAGATAGGCCTTATGTGAACGCGCGTTACGAAGGTTAGAGGACTTGACGAGGAAGGGGCCAGCAAAGTCTGTTCCGACTCCAGCGAATGGTCGGATGGCCCTGACGTGGTCGGGTGGCAAGTCACCAATCATAGGCTGCGATATGGTGGCCTTCAGTTTATAACAAGATATGCACTTAAAGATGACGCTCCGAATGGTGCGTCGGCCAGCCAAAATCCAAAACTCCCGCCGCAGAATAGCCGAAAGAGTGTTACACCCAGCGTGGGCGTTCTTAATATGATGGTGGGTTACCAGCAACCGGACAAAGGCGCCGTCCTTGGTGATCAGTAACGGGTGTCGAGACCCGTACGGCAGTTGGGAAATTCTCAAACGTCCACCAACGCGCAGTATCCCAGCGTCGTCCAGAAAGAGGTTCAGACGGGCCAGAGCGCCCTTGACAACGGAGCCACGCTTCAAGTTTTCAATCACGGACTCAAAATGCTCCGCTTGGACCATACGGGTCCAATGCATCAAAGCTTCACGACGCTCGCTAAGGGACAAAACGAAATCAAAGATTCGGTTGGATGGGTCTCTCGAATTGCGGACAAATCGGCGCAACCAAGCAGTCACTCCTAAGAGATTATCGAGAGAGCTGTACCGTTCCAGAAGAGAGAGATCCCGAGTGGGCTTATCCTTGCCCACTCCTACTCGGGCTCGTAGGCCAGGCAATTCAATCGGTTCGGAGTAATTACCCTGGGGCCAGAATGACTGAGACTCAGATAACCAACCGGGACCCCACCACAGCGGGTGGTTAACCAACGAGGGGGCCTCACAGCCGCGAGAAGCGCAGTCTGCGGGATTCAACTCCCCTGGGACATGTCTCCAGTTTAGGGAAGTCTCAGAAGTCTGGATTTGAGACACGCGGTTCGCCACAAAGACCTCAAGATTGTGAGGTGCAGCTCTGAGCCAACAAAGTACTATCTCACTGTCCGACCACGCGTAGACGTCCGTAATGTTGATTACAGACTTCAAAAACGAGTGAACGTGGTTGAGGAGTCGCGTGAGAAGAGCGGACAGTTCCAATTTAGGGATAGTTAAGCGGGATCTAATGGGAGCAACCTTGCTTTTAGCAAGTACGAGATGGACAACAGTATGAACAGAAGAGCTCACTGTCCGCAAATATACGACAGCAGCATAGCCTTTCTCAGAGGCGTCGCAAAACCCATGTAGGGTGGCCCTGCATTTCCCTGGAGGGAGGAAGCACCTTGGCATGGAGACCATGGAGAGCCACGCTCGCAAGAGGGTTTCGCTAATAGGCTCGTCCCAACCCAACCCGGATATCCAGAGCTTTTGAAGAAAGCACTTAGCCAAAAAGATGACCGGGGTGATCCATCCATTAGGGTCGAAGGTGCGGGCTACTGTAGACGGCACGGAGCGCTTGGTCCATGCTTTGGAAGGGGGATCAAGTTTTACTCGATACGTGAAGGTATCCTGAACAGGCTGATATTGAATGCCCAGCACAGTCAACAAATTAGGATTTTCAGGGTGCTCGAATAGATGAGGGTCTTGTCGATCCTCTCCTGGGAGGTCCTTCAAAATATGAGGGAAGTTCGATAACCATTTGCGCAACTCATAACCTCCGGACTTCAGGATGGCAATTTATTCGGCTCGTAAGACAAGAGCCTCCTCGACAGTGGAGGCGCCCGTACAAATGTCGTCCATGTAGACCGAAGTCTCCAAAATAGAAGCTCCCCGAGCGTATCTTAGGCGCTCTCTCTCAGTGAGTTCAAGGAGGGTTCGCATGGCGATATACGGGCTGAACCGGAGTCCATAGGTGGTGGTGTTCAACTCAAACACCTGTATCGGATCGCTGGGCTTCTCGCTCCAAAATATCAGCTGATATCGACGGTCATCAAGATGGACCATTGATTGTCGAAACATCATCCGAATGTCGGCTACAAAAACCACTTGGTGTCGACGGAATTGGGTCAAAATATCGGATATGTCCTTGATTAGTTTAGGACCAGAGTGAAGACACTGGTTCAGGGACACACCATTTGACGTGGGGGCGGAGCCGTCAAAAACTACCCGAATCTTACTCTCAGGGGTCCTCCAGACCGCATGGTGAGGGAGGAAGTAGTGCTCCTGTGAACGCCATTCGAAGTTGGACGGTGACATGTGACCCAGCTCTCGATACTCGCGCATGAACTCGACATATTTGTCGCGAAAGGCTGGGTCGCGCCGCATGCGAAAGGCTGGGTCGCGCCGCATGCGGCGCTCCATGGGAAGCAACCTCTTCTCGGCCAGTGCACGAGATTGACCCAAAGGGGGACGTGAGTCCAGAAAGGGTAAGCGAGTGAGGAAGCGACCGTCGACACGACGGCCGGTATTGTTCTGGTAGAACAAGTCGCACTCACGGTCCAGAGGGTTGACTCGAGCCGCATGTGGTGGTTCCTCAATTTTCCAGAACCGCTGGACGACGTCCGAAAGGGACACGCCCACAACAGAGAGCGGGTCGGCCGTCGGAGGGGGAGGAGACCACATAACCGGTCCAAAGAAACTGTGCCCCAATACAGTGGACACGGCCGACAAGCCATCAGGCTGCAGGGCTCGTATCTCGCCTAACAAGATGAACCCCAGCGCGTCGGCCCCCAGCAACAAATCTATAGGCCCAGGTTGGGACCATTGAGGGTCCGCCGGTCTCAAACCCGACGCACAACGATCCGCGCTGTCATTTATACGGACGTTAGGGACAAAACCTACAGTGTCATCGAGGACATTTACCTTGACTAAAATGTGAAGGTGTTCACTGGCGGGGCTGAACACCAACTCTGCTTGTCCCCTAGGAGTACGAGGCTCGGCACCTCCGATACCTACCATCGGACGTGATTCAGAGCTCCAGGGGAGCCCCAGTCTTCCCACCAACCAAGTGGAGGCCACGCTACGTTGTGAACCCGAGTCCAATAGAGCTCGAACCGTTAAGCGGTCGCCGCTCGGGTTGTACAACTTCACTGAGGCCGTCGGCAATAGAACAGTTTGACAGGTGGACTGCTGACGACTCAAAGGCTTAGTGGAGGCGGCCGTGGTGGGAGCTAGGGCGGCAGCCTCCTATCTGGAGCTGCCTCTGTCGGACCGGCACCCGAATCGAGGGCCCCGAGAGCGGCACTCCGACGGCATCTCGATGACCCGCAGTTGGAATTCCCCGAACGGGCCGACCTGGGGAAATTCGGGGAGCCTCGGCCCCGAGGCCCGGGACCGATACGAGGTCTCACGAACCCGGTAATACCGGCACCGACCAAAGGGGGGAGGGCGACGTTCCAGTCACGGCCACTCAGCCAACGGGGGTGAAAACGGTCTAGCTGACCGCTGAGTGGCCGCGAAGCCCCTCTCAACACGCTGACGACCCCCCGCCCCTGGGGGAAAGACCCCGACCGGTCGGGGGAGGGACTCCCCTCAGAACGAGTGGCGCGGTGGTCGACAGGCGAGCGCCGAGAGTCGCCCGACAGGGGGCGTGGCTGAGCGCCCCCGTCCGTGGGAGTCGGGGGGCCGGCAGGGCCTCGAGAGGACGCGCCGCTCGCACCCAGGCACAGAATGACATGGTGGTTGCCCTGGCCGTGCGTGCAGGGCTGCTGGTGCGGGCAGTCTCGTTGTAGATGCCTCTCCAGGCACGAGTAGCACCAGCTCCCTGGCGATGGTTCGCCTCGCCGGGGCCGGCTTAAGCAGCAACTTAGGGCAGGACGTCGCCCGGTGTTCGGCGGCTCGACAATAGGAGCAGAGGGGCGCCTCCCGGGCTGCTAGGCCGCTATAAGAGGGTAGGGGGCGGCGCCCTCCCGCGGGAGCTCCGCTCGGGGGGTTGGCGACACCTTGGCCGTCGGATTCCGCCTCTCCCTGGGCACCGCTCGGGCGACAGCCGGGGGGCCCTCGACGGCGCCTGCTGCGTTCTCCAACTGTCTGCACTGCTCCTCCAGGAACCGCAGCAGGTCCCTAAAGGGGGGAATATACGAGGCGCCATCCCCGCCGTACCTCTCCTCAAAATAGAGTCGAAGATCGTGAGGCAGGCGGGACAGCACAATGTGGAGTAATAAAAAGGACCACTCGTCCACCGGTAAATCCAGCCGCCGCAACGAGTTACAAGCCACCACGACTGGATTCACGATGTCCTCACGTAGTCTGGTCCAGTCCTTCAGCAGCGGGAGGTTCAGCAGCTCCCGAACGTATTCGTCCGCAATCCGCCGGACGTTGGCGTAGCTTCCGGCGAGGAGGTTCCTGGCATTTTGGTAGGCGTCGTCCGACAACTTAAGGTGGCCGACGACGCCCAGGGCCTCCCCCTCCAATGATGCCAGGAGGATACCCCATTTTTTGGCTGAGGGTCAAGTTCCTACGGGCGTCCACCAGGCTGTCAAACAGACCGACGAAAGTCAGCCATACGGAGAGGACCCCGGAGAACCTTGGCAGGTCCAGCGTTGGGAGTCGTCCCAACAGCTCCGGCGGAGTAGGCGGCTTCCGAGGGGACTCGAGCAGGCCACTCAGCCGAGCTTCACGCGCCTCCTCCGCATCCTTGGCCCCCGCCTCGTTCAAATCGTCCGTAAACGAAAGAAACTGCTCGTAGTCTGCGTGGTAGGAGTCCAGGACTCCCTTTTCCACTTCCGAGTCCTCGAGCTCAGCGTAAGCCTCCTCCACGGCGGCCCTTCGAGCATCGACCTGCTCGAGCCGCTTCCTCATGTTATAGACCCTATCCGGTCGACCTATCAAAGCATGGGCGCTGGTAGCCCAGCGCAGCTCAGTCCGCAGGCAACGAATCAACAGCTTAAAATCAGTGCGATGGCATCACTACTAAATACGAACTAATGCGCGGCACAAATACAAATCAAATTAACAAATAACAAATACACTTACTATGAAATCAAGTTGAATACAAATTACTACAAATATGACTTACTATTTATTAAATTAAATACAAGTTACAGTACAATTAATCAGCAAAATGCCTCGCTCAAACTACCGACACTTCGACAATCAATCTACTATAATTATACGCCAACGATAAATATCCGATTACTTGTGATAGCCTTATCTACTTAGTCAGAGTACATAGCCTTAACAAAGCTACGGGCGTTATCCTTCCACCCAGCTTTGAAGGGAAAGCTAGTCAGTCGAATAGAGAGTATTTAACTACTAAGGTACTTACCTGCTTCGGGAGCGGAGACTGGTCACCAGGATCTGTCATGCTGAAGGTGTAGTGCATGTAAGTGGTGTTTGTGAGTGTCTGTGTTTAGGTGGCCTGAACCAGATGGCATGATGCTGCCCCGGAGGCGGTATTCTCCTGCGGCGTCCCCGGTGTCAATTTCTTTCTTCAAGGCACTAGGTCAGTCTTTCACGTTATTGTACATTCAACTAACTTCAAAAAAAGAACTAAATCCGTTGATCACAGTCAAGAACCAACACGTGGCGCGGCCGACGACAGTGGTACAAAGTTCACCTCCGTTCGCGACGCGGCAAATTAAGCAAAAAAAAACAAACGTCCGCTACGATCGGCAGATTTTACAATGAATTGGCTCGAAGTGTCCCGTCGACACCGCTCGAATGGAATGTGCCGGGTGGGAGGCGGTGTGACCTCGATACGATGCTAGGCGCTTCGAGCGTGCGTTAATAATTCAATTTTCAAATGGTTAATATTTTGCCTAAACACATATGATTGATCGGTCGGAGTTAAAGACACGTCGAGAAACGCCAAATCCAATAAGAGAGCGCCTCTATGTTTTTAAATTCGTTTCTATTACAAAAATACACTTCAAATCTAAAATATTTTAGGAAAACACTGAACTTAAAAGCCGTTTCACGATTTTTCACGTTTCATCAGCTGCAGTACTTAAAGAAACTACCCACATCAATAAAAATTGTTATTTTAAATTTTTACCTTATTTTCTAACTCAGGCTTAACCTACAACTTCTTGCATCTAATATTTTAACATTACCAATTGTTTTTAATGTAAGAAATCTATTGCCCTCTCCTATCACTGTTAGCGAGGATCTATAATGGCTTTGTCCTTGAAAACCACCAGACAATGAAGCCCGGTGTAAAACCACCAGACAATGAAGCCTGGTATGTAAAAGAGAAGACTTGCTGTATTGCTAAACATCAACAGAGCAAGTATCCTCAGCATGCTCATAAGCAACACAGAAAATCTCATCAGTATGCCTAAAAAAATTCCCACCCTTGCTCCACATAAAGTAGGGTACTTAGCATAGTTGGTATATGTTACTCATTTTTGTTGGTATGGGTACAGTATCGTTGACTGTTTTACCTCCTTAAATATTGTAAAGGATTAAATCGGCATCCTGTATATTTTTTTATCGATAATCCCAATCGATAAACGTCGTCAATCACTAACTTTAAAACTGGTAACTAAATAGTGACGTTTACTGGACAACAGAGGGCGCTTATTACAATAAAAATAAATGTTCTAGAACAATCTACTAGAAATAATAAAATTTAAAGATTATTCTTTTTTTTATAGGATAAGCACACAGTCCACCTGATGGTAAGTGGTTGCTGCGGCCCATAGACATCTACATCAATCTTCTATTACAAATCAAAATGTAGATGCGTTGTCACCCGTGAGGACTAAGATGGAATGCCTCATTTCCAGTAAAAAGGGCCTCCGGCCATCTGTACTCACCAAGCGAAACGCAGAGGTAAACCTCTACTTCACGCTCGTTTTCTGTGAGGTCGTGATACCACCCCGGTTCGAGCCGGCTCATCCGTGCGACAGCAAAATCTGCCGCGTGGCTCTACCACTGTTAGATACGGTAAATATATGTTATATTTACGATAATAAACCGAAATCACGTTCATTTTTTGCTGCATATCGTGACTTACAATATCTCTACTACTTAAATGTCTTTGAATCTAATGGTAATTGGTTATGTAGCCAAAGATGTTAAAACGCACTGCTTTAACTCAACAAAAGCTTATCACTCCTGCCTTGAAGAAACTTATATTGTAATTGAATGGGAAGATAGGTGCTGGGAAAATATTGCACTCCATTGCTGTACGCATTACGAAATAACCAAACAGACAGAAGCAAACTTTTTATATCGGACGCATGAATTGTCGATAACAATGTGATGGTGACCCGCCGGTCGTCTGGTTGTCCGATGGTAGATAGGGGAGGGAGGAATGAAGAACAAAATTAGATGATTTCATTCCTCTTTCTTACTGTTACAACCTACCAAAAATCTACTGCTGAACATAGGCCTCCCCCATAGATAGCCTCATAGTGGCCACGTTTGGCAGGCGGGTTGTCAACCACAGTTTTATTATTTTTTAAATTTGTCATTAGGAAGCGTTGCAGTTATTGGGAGATTTTGACAACAGCTTACGCCAGCAGACAGTCGACGACGGTATTCTCAAAGCGCCTAACGGGCAAATGAGGTTCAAATTAGCATTGGAGCGCTTGTTCAACGTTTCCACTAATAGTTCTCATGCTCAGACAATTAATGCGCAAAGTTGCATCACTTTTACATATCAAAATACAGTTATAAATGTATAAACCATTAATTAAACAATAAAACGGGAGCAATAGTCCGCCAGCGGTCAAGTTCCGACCAAAACTCTTGTTAATTATACATTATTATTTAAATATAGAAAATATATATTAGCTAATATTTTTTTTCTGTTACAATAGGCAATTGCGGTGGATAGACTGGCCAGCACCTTTGAGAATATTAACGCTGCTGTGTTCGACATTAGAAATGCTATAATGAGCATCGACTATACAATGAAAAGATGCTACACCACAACATCCGTACAGCAAAGGCAGAACTCGAATATTTTCGTTTGAGTACTATGTGAATTTATGTGCATACTAAGTTGTATTTGAAAACTTCATATTAGTGATACTGTAAATATATTACTTGTATTTATAGATCAATGGACAGAACTTAAATAATGTGGTGTCAAAAATAAATCTATTAATATAAGGGAATTTGTTTTCTTGTATACATACAAGTATGTTATTTAAAAAGCTTTAATGTAACACCTTAAAGTTAAGGACAGACTTAATGCCATGTGGCATTTTCTGCCAGTCAACCTTGGGTGCCAAAGACAATTGTTGGCAGGTGCGAAACATATTACTCATATAAAGTGTACATAGATTAAAATTTATGTACACAGGGTTATTTTGCAATAAGCGGCCAAATTTGCAGAGAAGGTTCAGAGTAAGTTATATATATATATGAAAATTCTGAATCATTCTGTGCTTTTTGTCTTTTAAATTGAAAATGAGTGGTAATGCAATATTTTAACTGATTTTACTTTTTTTGTTATAGGATAGGGTTACAAACGAGCACACAGTCCACCTGATGGTAAGTGGTTGCTGTGGCCGATAGACATCTACATCTATCTTCGATTACGAATCAAAATGCAGATGCGTTGTCACCCGTGAGGACTAAGATGGAATGCCTCTTTTCCAGTAGAAAAGGTCTCTGGTTCTCTACACTCACCATACGAAACACAGCAGTGTTAACCGGTTCAGTGCGGGTGGCACGCGAGTCGTGTCTTTTTTTAAAAATCGTGATAACTCGCTCAAATTGCGTTTTTGGAAGATTTATCCAGAACTAAATATTCATTATTTTGCAAGTAGTTCACGCCTACAGCTTCGTTTCTGGATATTTTGAAAATTTCAAATTTTTAGGGATTGACAATCTTTTTTTGAACTTGTACATGGTACTCTTTTTACTTTGGGTTTTTTAAATCATGTTGTGGAAAAATAGTCTAATAACTAACAAATAATAGCACTCATTGCAATCGCTCACAAACTCGAGTTATAAACAAGTTTCTGGAAAACAAGTCTGTTCAAAAAAAACAATGCGTTTGTCTTATTGTTTAATTTTGCTTAAAATGGTTGAACTGCCGTCTTATTACTACCTACGAAGTACCATGTGCTCTTGTGATATTCTACAAGGTTTATTTTTGCTTGCAACAGTTCGAAACCGTTCATGCATTAAAAAGTTCGCTAATAAATATTCTTTTGTCAATCCGCCGCCGTACAGCGCAGCCGTTTATTTCCTTTTGAAAACACTTGTTTTGCTATTCTTACTAATTAGACGGTTTCAGATGGACTTTACTTTTATATTTGTATAATATTAAATAATATATAACGTTTGTAAATATCAATGAATCGTAAACTTTATTTCTTTCCAAAATAAGATTGTTTGATAAATTAAATTTTCACCTAATAATAACATTTGTAAATGTTATTATTAGGTGAAAATTTAATTTAATAAAAACCAATGTTTCCCAGGGTGATTTAGCTATACTTACTTATATAAATGATTTTTTATAAAACAAAAAATAGTACAAAAGGTTTGTAATCTCTGCATAAAAAAGTCACAATCAATTTCAAAGGAAACACGTAGAAAACCACGTAGCTACTCAATAAAAACAAGTATTCTTCCGTTTGTAACTGATGTTTTGATGTCAACTAAACTTAATTAGGTCTAAACAAGTGAAAAAATCACTTGACAGTTGACACGCCAGGCGTTGTTGTCGAAAATCGGTGCCGCAACGAATCGGTTGAGCTGCTATTTTACGCTGGTATTCTGTGAGAGCGTGGTCCTACCCCGGTTGAGCCGACACATTCGCGCTACATCTATACTACTAATATAGCTGCAGCATGGCTCTACCACTCAAAAATTACTGCGCACGCACACATTCGTAAGGGTCAATCTGTAGGCAAAAACGTTTGCTTTTACACATACACTTTAAAGCGCCTGTTGTTACCTGCTCTCTGAAGCCTATGTGTGAAGACCACTAATGGTACGACAAAGTATTTTTTGTAATAGATTAAGTGATCTGATGCTGTGATCTATAAACATCTGCATCTATCCTGAATTAAAAATCAAAATGCAAATGCGTTGTCACCTTAAGAACTAAGATGGAATGCCTCCTTTCCAGACAAAAGGGTTTCCGGTTCTCTACACTCACCAGATGAAACACAGACGCGTTAGGCTGCTATTTGCTGGGCACAATTCTTCTCTCATTTCTGACAGGCTTAAGGCAAGGAAAGGTTTGCCTGAAATATTATTTTTTATTATTTCTCGGACATGCTGGTTTCCTCACGATGTTTTCCTTCACCGCCGAGCACGTAGTAAATTAGCACTTAAATTGCAATTAACAATTTCATTGGTGCCGGCCGGGATCGAACCCGCAGCTGCGGTAGCTCAAGAGCTAAGCTAATAATAATTAATACAGGATCAGGTTATTAAACCAAACTATTAGAGATTGTCGCCATCATGGGTCCCGGGTGGAGTCATAAAGACATATCATCCTCGGTTTTTTCGGCGCTTTCTAACTCTGAATGTTTGAACAGACACAACCTACTAGCTCGTTCATTCATACATTCATTACAGCCCTTCACAAGTCCACTGCTGAACATAGGCCTCCCCCAAGGAATGTCACAAAGCACGGTCCTGAGCCACCAACCATGCAGGTGCATCCACTGACTTCTTGCATGTCTTACCAGGTCGTCATTTCATCTAGTGGAGGGCCACCCTACTCTTCGCTTACCGGTACACGAGCCTGCCACTCAAGAACCTTTCTTGTCGGTTCTTCGACCTATATGACCGGCTCATTACCACTTCAGCTAGCTAATCCGTTAAACTATGTCGCCTACTCTGGTTCTACTGCGAATATACTAATTTTGTAAGTTTATCACGCAGAGAGACCCCGAGCATAGATCTCCATAGTACGCTGAGCGACCTTGGGCTTCCTCATAAGTCAGCAGTCACAAACTTATAAGTCATCACTGGCAACACGCACTGGTTGGAAAATCTTGTTTTCAGGTTTTGAGGTATACCTGACAAGAAGATGTGTTGTAATCTTGGACTCACCTAGTCGGACTATTTTTCTTAGGTAAACATACTCGTCGACAACTTCGAGCGTTGTGCTCCCAACAACTACCCGCATAGGTGTGACATGGACGTTACACAACATGAATTTTGTTTTGTCCATGTCAGGAGACACTATTGACGTCATTGAGCATAGTGTTTAGGTCCTCCAGCGAATCTGCCATAAGAACTATATCGTCGGCAAGTCGAAGGTGAGTGACGTACTCGCCATTGATGTTAATACCGTGTCCTTTCCAGTCCAGTAGCTAGAAGACGTCTTCCAATGCAGCGGTGAAGAGTTTCCGGGATATAACGTCACCCTGTCTTACACATTTCTGCAGTTGGATGGGTTTCGTACTCTGGTTCTTTACTCGGATAGCCAACCATCGTAGCCTTACTGTACAAACACTTCAGCACTTCGATATACCAATAGTCTACTTGGCACCGCTGAAGGGACTGAAGCACCGCCACCGTCATAGTCCACATACGCATGACAAAATGGCAGATTGTACTCTTCAGTCTTATGTTCAATTTGCCGAAGGGTATGTATGTGGTCTATTCGTATTGTGGTATATTCGTATTGTGGTATATCGGGGTTTGTTCAGGAGGCTGGAAGTCGTCGAGTCTGCTTGCGAGACGATTCGTAATGACTCGAAAACAGTACGTAGACGCGGCCCAGAAATGAAATCGGTTTATTATTCTTCTAGAGTGAGTTGTCGCCTTTCTTGAAGAACAAGACCACCGCACTTCTGCAGTAGTGCAGTAGTAGTAGCTAAACGTAGTAATTATATTATACTCTTTGCTAGTAGGCAGGATTTTGCATTAGAAGGTTACTCTGGCTTACAGTCTCGCGGATCTGGAATTGCTTATCCCGAGAAATGACACATAAGCAGAGATTATAAAACGCAAGATATGGTGTCGGATCAGTGCATCCAAACTAGCCACACGCGCCTTCTCGAACATCTGGGACCCATTACAGAATTGTGGCTGAAAGAACAGCACACAGAACGTATCATTGTACTGCACTTTCAATCTGTGATACTCTTCTATTAGTGTAATTCGTCCACAGCGAATGAGTGTAAAGTGGCTGACAGTAAGTTATAAACAACACGGTGCATAAATATATATATATCGGAAATGACAACAGGAGATCCCACTTCTGATATCGGAAATGACAATAGAGGGGATTCCAATTTTGATCTTGGAAATACATCAGGATAGCGTTAATTGTTAAAAATAATAAAAGTGTGAGAGCGGATGTTCAACTTGCTCTCTTGCTTACGCAGTTTAATCATTATCAGTAATAAGACAACGTAACGCACTATACATTCAGTATAGTGAAATTACAGTTCGACCACACCGTAATACGTCTCAGCCACAATCACACACCAGTGTAACGTGGGGTACGTAATTACATGATAACACCAAAATATGTACAGCAACAGCAACACTACTTATCTCAATGTAACACAGGGCAGCCTCTCAGCAACACCAATCCTCCTTGCCTGCACTAGAAGAATTACCACAACGAACAGAACCACGACAATATCTTAGCACTAGTCGAATGACCACACCCGTTGAATGACTTGAGCGGAATCTCCCGCACACGGCACCTACAGTGAACTTTATACTACCGACACAAGAGGGGGTTTTTCGATATACCCTCCATTCTACCTCGATCCAACCCGGTATTTTATAGACACTCCGACACGGCCGTCCTGACGTACGACCGTCCTCGGGCGTGTGTCTTTATGCATTCCTGTAACAAACAACAATTCGTCCGCTCGTCCATCCTGACGTGAGTGGGTACACATTATTAGTTCGCAAAACCAATTGTTAGATGGCGCTGCTTGTTGCACTATGGCGCCATCAATTCACGACACGGCCACTTCTGACTAGCATCCGTCCTCGGTTGCAGTGCCTGGAGACAAAATATGCTCAGTGATTAATCTAG